ATCAGTCATGTTAAATGATGGTAATACTGCGTCTTTTCTATTGCGTTTTTTCTATTGATTATATTTTTAACATAGCCCCAAAAGCTTCGTTCCAGATATTTGTTGTGATTAAACGACTCACTGTCATTTAAGTCATCGGCGTCGTTGCCATTGTTACGGAGCCTGTCACGCAATGTACGCGATACGTATTTAATTTCGCTGAGTTCACCCTTTTTGGATTTTAAATTTCGTAAAGCTTTCTTTAACTCTTTAACCGTATACTCTTTATATTTAGCTACCATATTTTTGTCGGGTACAGTTTCAGTATGTCCATAATTATTTGCAAAGTAGCTGTATATCGCGTCATTTAAAAGCTTGATTTTTGAATTTAGATCTTGCAATGTGATTGGATCACTTGGCTGGAGTGCACATTTAAAATAATCATTAGCCGATAATAATCATTATTAATAATAATCATTTATCATTATTATTATTATTATTATTATTATTATTATAATAATAATAATAATAATAATAATAATAATAATAATAATAATAATAATAATAATAATAATAAAAGGACACAGCCTTACGTTTGAGCAGAAAAGAGGTAGACTTTTAATAATTGGATTAGGCGGATTGTGACTGAGTGCATACTGAGTCAGTTTACCATTGAGTCAAAATTGCACCACTATGCAATATCACATTTTCTCATTTTACTTTAATATTTTGAAATTATATTAATCTTCAAAGTGCACAAATATATTTCTCACATAACAGCATACCAGTAAAATATTATATTATTGTATTATTATATTTATTGTTACTTTATGCTATGAAATATTTATTATTTATATAACTGAATATACAACTCCAATGGCATCGTTTCTTTCAATCTCTTGCCGATTCAATAAAGTTGTCCTCACAAGTCTTTCAAGATGAAACCTCGGTTATTTGCTAACGACACAAACCTATTAACAGCTTCTGGCGACTCATTAGATAGCTTAAGATCAACGACGTCGACGTCAGCTAGGACGTAAGGGCTAAGCAGAGGACTGGGACTAGGACGTCGTCCCAAATAAGTGGATAGCTCAATATCTACGACGTCAAATATTTAGGGCGGCAAGCGGAAGTAAATTGGTAATAGTTTTTGAAGTGTGCATGTATCTCTCTCAATTTGCTCGTCGTCCACCAAACGTCGGCAACCTCACAACAAGAGGTTTACCGTCGTGGATGCAAGAGCATAACAAACGGTAATGGGTTCAAACGTCTCTTTTTAATTCATTTTCAAAAGGATGTAAACAATTATAGTTTAAATGTCGACGTCGTGGATCTTAAGTGGAAGTTTATTTATTTAGGACGACGTCCTGGTCCCAGTCCTCTGCTTACCCCTGACGTCCTAGCTGACGTCGACGTCGTAGATCTTAAGCTATCTAATAACTCGTCTTGAAGCTGCAGTGAATTCTAATTTGGAAAACCTTATAAAATGACTAATAATTGCCAATAAACTTAGCCTCAATTTCGTGATTCGTGAAAACTGTATTTATGTTAAACATATTAATTTATCTGTTCTAAGGTTGGTGTCGGTATTGGTGCAATGAGACGTGTTAAAACTTTTGTACCACTGTCGACACCAAAATGCTATAATGCTATTATACAGCCTTATTTCGATTATTGCAGCCCGTTATGGGATAATTGCGGAATTTGGCTCAAATGTAGGTTGCAAAAATACCAAAATCGTGCTGAAAGAGAAATTACTGGGGCAACTTACGATATTTGGTCATCTGAGTTACTCGATAATCTAAATTGAAACCTCTCGAAGAAAGACGAAATTATCTTAAATCTATTCTCATCTATAAAATTCCGAATGGCCACACCGCACCCAGTCTTACAGAAGCATTTCACTTTAATAATGAAAGACATAATACATACAATATTAGAAATAGGGATAATGATTTAGCACCACCTATGCCGAAAAAAATTTGTAGTTATATTTTTGTTATTCTTGTAAATAGTTAATTAAATTTTCTTGTAAATTGGTAATTTCACGCCCCTCCAACGCCCCTTCCAACGGCTGTTGAGGCTAGCGTGGTTTAAATAAAGTTGTGTATGTATGTATGTTAATTGGCTAAAGCAAAATGATTAAAAGTATTTCAAATTTGCAGCGTAATGTGCACTGGAAAAATTTTTGAAAATCCATAGAAGGTCATAGAATGGAAATTGTATGGATCTTTATTGGAAATAGCATGGATTCTGATTATCCATAATAATTGCATATTTCCATACTATGGATGTAATATCGAAATAGTATAGATATACTATGGATTTTGTGGTGCAATTGTAAATTTCAAAGTATGGATTCCACATTTTTTTGCCAGTGTGTGGTAATTGAAAACAAATAGATTAAACAAGTGCATGAGTGCAAAACTGTCGGAGTGACAGTCGACCATGCAGCATTTGTCGTGGAAAAGTAACACTGAAAATATTTGCAGGAAATAACATCAGGAATTTCTGCTCAAAGACGTTTAAAGGATTTTGTTGATAGACAATCCATTCATAATGCTATTTTTCGCCCATTCTTTGATTACTGCTGTGAAGTATGCATGGGATGTGTTCGGTGAAACACGATCAAAACGATTTCAAAAGCTCCAAAATAGAGCTGCTCGATGAACATGAGCAACAACGCAGATCATTCTGTAGCGTTGTAAGCATGCATTGTGTTAGAAGACACTTAAAGAAGAAAGGAAGAAAGCCATGGCGAAAATTATGTATAAATTATTAAATAACATGGGCCCTCAATCACTCATACTAATTTATTCACTTATAAAGTGAGATCACTAGCTATAATCTTCGAAACATATCAAGTGCTCTTTGTTTACCGCAACCGCGTATACTAATAATTTGAAAAAAGTTTTATGTACGATGAATCATTCTTTTGGAATTCTATCCCTAAGGATTAAACAGAGCAAATCCCTTTCTTGTCATTCTTCCTTTCGGACGAAAATCGCTGCTCGTATTGATAGTTAAAGCAAATATATGCATCTGCATGTAAATAGATTATTATCTCATATACTTATCTATATCTTATATCTCAATACTTAATATAATACTTATCTTACATTTTGAAACTAGATTTTAAATACTTTTCATATTTGCTGTATACTTCTTCTTCACACGCCCTTCGTGGAAATCAGCTTTAGTTAATATATATATATAAGTTAATGAACAAGAACTACACCTGATTGCATGCAGGAAATATCATTTGTTTGTTTCTAATGGTATATCAAGATACCGAAAGATATTTAATTAAGCAAAATACAAATACTATTTAAAAATTACACCCACACAAAATGCGTCATAGCAATTATCTTTTATCTCAAAACTACAGCAAATGGAAATATTTCGAAGACTTCGTACTTTAAAAGTATTTTTAGTGTCGGCGTAACTCGGCCTGAACGTCCACGAAGCCTTATCTTCTGTCATAAAGTTACTATTTTTCCTGACTGCATTGACATTTTCACATTACATTTCGCGCTGAGGAATTGGTTCCCCGATTAGACTTGTAAACCAAATGGCTTGGCTAACAAATGTTTGACTTAATGAATCTTATAAACAGCTAAGTGTATTTAACATGTTCTGTCGTTGGTGGTGGTGCAACTACATGAAAAATATAAGGGGAATTTCGACGTTTCGAGCGAAGGCCCCTCGTCTGGAGGGCATTCGCCCGAAACGTCAAAATTCTCCTTATATTTTTCAGGAAAGAATGTTAATTATCGGCACAACCTGCACTGGCACAGACAGTTCAAAATTGTATTTAACATTATATTATATTATTCAATATTTCATACTTACATTGCCCTTGGTCTATGATATTGGACTTTCCTGCTTTAAGCAAACGTTGCGAACTAATGTCGACAATGTCAAACTGTTTTTTTAAACGCATCCGTTTCAAATGAATGGTCTTTCAGTGAAAGGCGGAGTCTCGTTAAAATCGAATCTATGCGAAATAAACAATTTTTTGAGAGACTCCGTACTCCGTACTCCGACTCCGTTGTCCGCACTCCGTCTTTTCCACTATTTCAAGTAGTAACACTTCAAATGTGTGATCATTCAATTTCGTAAAAGCCAATAAAGACAACAATTTTGTGTGGATGTTTATGTACTATTTAAAAAACGAGCAGGAGTGTTTTATTAGGTTTAAGGCTTTAGACGTAATAAAACACGACCCGCGAGTTTTTTAAATGACTTCAAAAACGTATGCATAATAAGTCAAATCTTTATATAAAAATCTTTATATAAAAACCTTTATATAAAAATCTTTATATAAAAATCTTTATATAGTTTGCATAACAATGGTCTTTTGTTAAAGTGTTCTTTAGCTGGTATAAAGACGTATGCACGTGACTAATTTCTTACTCAAGATTGGATAATTGCTTCATGAATTATTAATGAGTTTTTGAAAGTTAGTTCCTTGATTCGTAGCTATTCGACAAGACATACATATGCCGGAAATGGGACGCCGGAAATATTTACAAAGGAAAACAATTATATTTATTTTTATCATGCAAACATTCAAAGTCAAAAATCCTAATTTGGACATTTTGGTTTATTACAATGGTATTAAGATAAAGAAATATCTTCGGAAAGCAAAATACAATTATTGAAAAAAAACCAAAAAAAACGCGTGATAGCGAGTATCTTTTAATCTCCAAAGGTTCGGTACTTTAGAAACATTTTCAGCTTCAGCGGCGTAACTGCCTGAATGTCTAGGATTTACGAAGCCCTGTCTGTGATATTTGCCCATGGGCTATCATGGACAAGAGAACAGGGAAATTTACTGTATAATAGCAATATTTACGTACAATTAGGCAGAGAGAACATGCAGCCTATGTCATTTTGTTGTCGAGATATTGTATAGTTTGTTTGACAGTTTGATAACTAATGAAATAAATCTACGATGCGCGATTCAATGAGTATAGTAATATTTCTAAATCAGTCTCGTCAAAGTCATTACAGTCGTGCCAGTAGAGGCGTTCCGAATATTGATCAGTTCGTTTCCTAACTTCAAGCGATTCCTCTGATCAGCGAGCCGTTCGACTGCTACCTGTACATGCAAGCCACGCACGAATACTTGTTTATTACTCCGGATTCCGGGTACTGTAGGCTAAGTACCGGAGTATTAAAATGTCAGATCTTTTTTTCTTAGGCGACACAAGTGCGCACTTCCACAGGTACACCGTACGCAACGTACAACAATAATTACTAAAAGTAACCGCCATTCGTAGTAGTTCGGAACGAGCGATGTGTTTACATTGTATTTTGTTGTATTTACAAAATTAATGTTAAAAATTCACTGGTAAAAAACAGATTGGTTTGAAGTAATTAGGGTTAGAAAAGGTATGCGTTTCAAGCGATGTGCCGCAAATAAGCGAACAAGATTTTAGGTTTCACACTGATGCGCAGCAAAGCATATATTCTACAGAATTTTTGCATTATTGACAGCATGAATCTATATAATCAAGGATTCCCTTTTTTATACAATACATTTTATCAGGGGGCCCCAAAATTTTGCCAGGGGGGGGGCGGGCCCCAGGCCAGTGGCTACTCCTCTGGGATGAGATTTCTCATGAGATAGTGGAGAAACTGCAAACTCTTATTGCCTATTGGTCAATATGAACAGTTCACAAGAGTGACAAGACGCTACAGGGATGTTATTCAAAACCTGCAAGAACAAGAAACGGACAACAGATTTCGCTGTCAAAACGAACCTGAGTGAATGCTTGAGTGAATTGATTTAATCGTAATTGCTCGTAAACATGACGCAACGGAGAGAGAAATGTCGTAAATTCGTCAAGAAACGCTTCGACTTCGTCGGCAATGTCGACGGCATGACATTGTACTTCATGTAATTGATCATATATTGCGGGCTCTTATTGCGCAACAAGTTTTATATTTGAGACGAAGTATTATATTTGCGACGAAGTATTATATTTGAGACGAAGTATTATATTTGAGATGAAGTATTATATTTGAGATGAAGTATTATATTTGAGACGAAGTATTATATTTGCGCTGAAGTATTATATTTGAGACGAAGTATTATATTTGAGACGAAGTATTATATTTGAGACGAAGTATTATATTTGCGCCGAAGTATTATATTTGAGATGAAGTATTATATTTGCGACATATAAGTATTATTGAAACAAACGGCGCCCCATAGTTTTCTTACACTGGTTTTCATACAGTGACCACAGTTCATAATACAAATCGAAATTCGAGACTTTCTCGCGTGTTTAGTAGTGGTTGCCGTTAGTACAAAGATACTTTTGATCGACAAATGGCTTGGTTCGTTAGGCTGTCATCATCATAGTCAACGACTATGTGTTGGAGGTATATTTTTAAATTTGTCAAGACTGTACGTGGTTAAATTGTGTTGACACTCGTCACTCGTGTTCTTAGCAGTCTCTCTTTGTGCCTCGTGGCCAAAATTGAAGTACAAACAACGCACAAATCTATATTTCGACATACCTCTTCGATTCGCGAGGCACATTTTATATCGCAAACCACAACAATATCGGCAATATCGTCTACCACACTTGAATTAGACAAAAGCACGTATTAAAGGATTAGCGTCACACCAGGAATTCTCGGGCTCAAGCCCCTGCTGGCAGCCATTTTTCGGGACGAACAAATTAGATGAGCTGAAAAGTTTTTGCAATTCGTCATATGATATTTAAACCATCCTTTTATAATCCTTGCTCATATTGTCTGATTTTTATCAGAAATGTACCAAACAAGGTATTTTAATTATCGCTATTTGTTGTATTCAGTGGCGTGCTGGCAGTGGGGGGGGGGGGG